TCACAAGTCTACATCTTTGAAAGAGAACTTTTATTGCAAAAAGTGCCTCTCGAGTACCCAATGCATGCATGAAGCCGAATTGTGTGTTTGTCATGTGTTCTTCACAATATTTAATATATTCTTTTATGTATAATTTTTAAAAAAGTTTTCAGGAGATGGCTCATAAGGCTTATTATTCGATAATCTTCACATTTTTTGGCATTGAGTTTTTTAGGGATTGTTATAAAAGTTGATCTTAGCCACTGTTGGGGTATTTTTCCACTTTGGTATATATTGTTGAAGATCAAGGTAAGTCTTTTTACTTTGTCCTTATCCATAATTTTCAAAAATTCTGAGTAGAACTCGTCTGGTCCTGCGGCTTTTCCCTCCTTAATGTTGTTTATAGCAGCTATTACTTCCGCTTCGAGAATAGGTGGTCCAGTATCGTCATTTTTATTTTGTGTGATGGTGACATGCCTATCATCTTCAAATATTGTTGTCACCTAGTTCATCCGTGTTGTTTTTGTTTCTTGAATATCAACTATTTGATTTTATGTTTGAGACGCTCAAGGATTTCCTTGAGCGTCTGTTAAGTGTCCCGGCATTTTTGATTTATAGGTGCCTGCCACTTCTTTGCTCTTCTTGTGGAGTTTTTTTTGTGGACTTACCTACGTAAGGCTCTATAGTAATAGACTTTTTAGTTAGGGACATAAAAATATATCCCCGCTACTTTATCTAACTGTTGATACTTTGGGAACACAATTTATCCGTTGTTACGTATGATTATATTACTGTAAAGAAAACATTTCTAAGATTAATAATTCGGAACAAAAAAGTTGAGAATAAACTACAGGTCATTACAAAATGCAAATCATTTTTATAAAAACCTTAAATAAGCTCTACTGAAAAGTAGTCATTTTTGAGATACATTTTTGTGTCACTAAGCCTGTAGCATTCTAAATCACCTTGTATATATTCAAACACCGAAGAATATTTTCAATGTATTTCTATTTCCTATCGTATGTATTAAAACACCGAGAAAGTATTTCCAATCCTTTTGTATCGCTGGAATTGTTCATAAACACATTTTAAAATTTGTTTATGTATCACATATGCGTATTTCTTTGATCGAGAGCCGCTTTAAGATATTTTAAGCGTAAAATAAACAGAATATGTTCGTTTATGCTTTGTTTATACCAAGTTTGGCAAATGATTTTTAAAGAGAATTACATCACTCTCAGTGAGGCCGCTGTCAAAAGCAGTTGGTTTCGGTGTTAGTCCAAATTTTACTTCAAATATTTCTAATAATATAATATTTTTTCGTCTTTTGTCATGGGAACATCGGCAGTATAGTAGCAGTGTGGAGTTTAAATGCAGTTAAAAAAGTTGGGTTTGAGATTTTATAAAGAGAAGACGCGGCGTGGGTAGTCTTAAGAAACCGGCAAATTTATTGGTAGAGAAGAGAAATATACTCGAATGTAATGTGTCAATTTTTGCAAGAGTAATCACTGTTCTATTTTTATGCCGTCTCTCACTTAAGGAATTTGAAGAACGGCGTTTCCAACAACTTTAAAAGATACCTACATGGTTCCATTGCGCACAAGTTTTTTAAGAAGCCAAGTTTCAAAGTTTGCGTCTCAGTTTCCACCCTCATTTTGTTTGTTCCAGGTCATTCCAGACTATTTTCGCAGTGTGAGATGCATTTGTTTGTGTGGCGGTGAATTTGAGTCCAGTTTCAATCCCAGAACTTTTAAAGGAAAAAAATAACATTTAGTGAAATTCAGGTAATTTTTTTTGTTGAACTTTTAAAGTAAAAATAGACATTTTCTATCAGTAATTGCTTTCATGACAAGTTGAGAAATTGTAATAAGTGAAATCATAAATATTAGGTAGTGGCTAGCAGTCATATTAATTATTCTCAAAGTTTTAAAATTTAGTATTGACATATGACGGTTAGCACTATTTTCTTGACAATTGATACATATCTAATCATAAATTAATATCATGTTTTGTTTTGTTTAAAAAAAGGTTAACCTTTATGCATAGTTTATTTTAAAAAGATATTTTTTATTTGTAATAATTTAATTTAATTTAAGGAGGATAATGAAAAAGATGAATTCTATGACACCTTAGACAAAGAATATGATCGATGTCCACGTCATGACGTGAAAATCATTGCTGGGGACCTTAATGCAAAAATTGGCAAAGAGCAATTTTTCCAGCCAACTATTGGACGTGAGAGCTTACATGAAGAGTCTAATGATAACGGTTTGAGACTAATAAACTTTGCAAGTACTAAAAGCATGATAGTAGGAGGAACAAGATTTCCCCATAAAATGATACACAAAGGAACATGGAAATCCCCTGATAACGAAACCATTAACCAGATAGATCACATCCTGATAGATGCAAGGCACTCCTCCGATCTCATAGACGTCAGAAGCTACCGAGGTCCAAACATTGACAGTGACCACTTTCTTGTAATGGCAAAAATCAGAGGAAGAATATCAAACTTAAAGAAAGATAAACACATGAAACAAGACAGAATTAATGTTGATAATCTGCGCATTGAAACCGTTGCGAGAGAGTATAGGAGACAAATGGACGAGGAAATGGAGAGCTTGGAGGTGCGGGAAAATGTAGAGGAACTGTGGACAAAATGTAAAAACAACAACAAAATGTGAAAGCAACAAAAATATTGGGGAAAACCAAACCAGTTAAAGAAAACGAATGGTTTGACAAGGAGTGCCAAGAAGCAACCGATAACAAAAGCAGGGCATACCTAAAGACAAATCAAGCTGGATGCACAAGAAGAGCAAAGGAAGAATACCGGACACTAAGAAGAGAAGAAAAACGATTACATAGAAGAAAAAAAAGACAATTTGAGCAAAAGCAGTTGGAAAGCACAGAATGGCTAAGAAATCAAAATGAAACTCGAAAGTTCTACAGAAATCTAAACAAAATGCGCAAAGAGTTTAAGCCAAGAATAAGTAGCTGTAAGGATGTATAAGGAAACATCCTAAATGATGCAGCCTCAATCCTAAACAGATGGGTTGAATTTTTCGATGCAAAATTTAATGGCCATCATATCGAAGAAGCAGATAACACCCTAGCAAATCGAAATGATTGGAATCCTTTCAACCCAAACGAAAGACCACCTACCATCGAAAACGTTGCCCAAGCCATTAAAAAGCTTAAAAATAATAAATCACCAGGAGTTGATCAAATTTGCAGTGAGCTCTACAAGAATGGTGGCGATGCCCTACTACAGACACTGCATAAGCTTTTACTTCTTGTTTGGCATAATGAGACCATGCCTTGTGAATAGTCTCAAGGCGTGATATGCCCGTTACATAAAAAAGGTGACCAGCTCCAGTGTGACAACTATAGAGGTATAACCCTGTTAACAACTGCTTACAAAATACTAGCAAATATTCTCTACGAAAGGTTGCAAGTTTACACAGTGGGCATAATTGGTAAATATCAAGTTGGATTCACTCCAGAAAAATCAACAATTGACCAGATTCATTCAATAAGACAGATTCTCGAGAAAACATTAGAATTCAATATTGAAACCCATCACCTATTCGTCGACTTCAAGGCCGCATACGACAGTGTCAAGAGAACAGTGCTATACCAATCAATGCATGAGTTTGGTATACCAAAGAAACTTATCCGACTAACGAGAATGACAATGTCTAACTTAGAAGCCACTGTTAGAATACAGGGAGAGAGTTCTAGATCCTTTGAGATAAAGGATGGACTCAGACAAGGAGATGCTCTGGCTTGCCTCCTATTTAATATTGCCTTAGAAAAGGCAGTCCGAGATACACGAATTAGGGATGGCGGTACTATTTACAATAGATCGATACAAGTCTTAGCATATGCTGATGACATTGACATAGTAGGGCGTAGCAAGCGAGATGTTGAGCAATATCTCCTGGAATTGAAAACAGCGGCGAAACAGGTCGGTCTAGTCATCAACGAAGACAAAACCAAGTACATGTTGGTTACAAAGCATCCGATAGCAAATGAGGAACGAGAAACAGTCTTTGGAAGTCATACCTTTGGACGTGTTGACAACTTCACATACCTTGGGTCGCTATTGACTGCTACCAATAAAACAAGCGAAGAAATTTCGACACAGAGGATTGTCGAGCCAAAGATGATGATGAATGTGAATGATGAAGTTCTTCTAGTATCTCCAACTTCTATAGTTTGTAAACCGATAGTAACATAGTAAGTTTGTTTTTACTATTTTGTATTTTATTATTATTATTTATATTTGTAACTGTTTGTGGTGAGATAACAATAAATATTTAATTTTTTCCCTAAACCAAGTTGTTTATTTCCTTTTTAAAAGTTTTTAACCCTTTATTTATATTATTTAGGAAAGAAAAGCCTTTCTTCCAGCCAGCAGGAAGATTCTTGTAAGCGACGTCCTTACTTTAAATAGCTTAAGAACCTTCTTGTGTTGTGTTTGTCCAGGAGATCCATGTAAGTACCCCTTTTATTTCACTTTTGTCCCCTTGTCATTTACTTATCTACAGCCCAGCTTTCAAAAAAAAAGAACCTCTGAGTTCCGGTTTGTTTTGCTTACCCTATCACCACAGTAATTTCTGTCACCAATTTTCAACCCCCTATAATGATCCCAATGTGGAAGGCAAAATTTTCGTTATAAGCCGACGAATTGTATCTGTTTTGATATACTATTTTTAATTGCCTATTTCAATTCTACTCATCCAAACACACAAGAAATAATGAAAATAATACTTGACATAAAACATGTGTTTTCCAGTGTAATCAAACTAAATTTTGAGTTTATACTCGACAGTTTTATGGATCACCTCTCGGCCTATTATAAAATAAAAATTTGTTAAGTACATTTAACCTTATTACTTAACTATTTACTTATTTTCAAGCGATAGTCTCGTAAAACAAAGATAACTAGCTATAAACTATAAAAAATGTCAGTATAATTTTTAATGACACATCGCCAAATATGCGGATAATATTTTAATTCGCTTAACCAAACCCTCTACTTTATCAAAAAAGGTATTATTAGGGTCGTATATAAATATAGGTGTACTCTTATCTCTTTATCTGTATTGTGGAATCCATCGGTGCTTCGTATATTCGTTAGACTGTGAAAAAGTAGATAACCAAAACTAACGACGTCAATATGTGCGGATCAGCGATGGGTTGTGCTGAAGGGATTGTGAAATTGTTTGTGTTTGGGGCGAATATAATTTTTGCTGTAAGTACCACTTTTTAATAGTTTACTGTTACTATTCTTTTGTCGCTACAATTGTTGTAATAGAAATTATTATTCTGTTAAGTGTATTATTACAACAGGAAAGGTGTAAACATTTTTAATTTGGTTTAATTACACAAAACGTGACGCGGCAATATCCACAAAACCGTCGTGTTCACATTCACGCTGTTGTGTTGGATATATTAGTACAATACGAGGACGGATCAAAAGGATCTGATATTTTTTTATTGAAATATATCACACCAACCCTGAGACGTTGTTACTGGTTGTACAGTGGTTTATATATTAAAAGAAATGTGCCTATGATGGACCCCTTAAGGAAAAAGCTCCATTATAATTATAATTATTTACTTATCGGGCTTTAAATATGACCACATCGTCTTGCTATCTGTATTATATGCAAATTTTGATAAAAATTAAGATTACAAAAGTTATTTATAGTTTACTAAAATCCTGTTAAGGGTCCATCATGGACATATAATTATGCGCTCATGATGGGCTCTTTGATACGCTCATGATGGACCCGTTGCATTTTATATAAAATAAGTAAATAACAAATTATTTTATTAAACCAAAAAATGTTCTCTCTCTCTCTTCAATCCTGACCCCCCAGGGGGAGTATAGTGGTCGACGTGATGTCGTGTATTGTCCGTCTCCAGAGATCTCTGTCTCTGGTCATTTCTTTTAATTCATGCATAGGTCTTTGGCATATTCCTGTAATTTGATCTATCCATCTTGTTGGGGATCTTCCTCGTGATCTTCGGCCTTCTACCTTTCCTTGTATTATGAGTCTTTCCATGTTTTCTGTGTTTGCTCTCATAACATGCCCAAAATATTTTAATTGTTGGAGATGGACTTTACTAGAGAGTCGTTGGCTAACTTTTAGCTCTCTTAAAATTGAATTATTTGTTCTGCGGTCGGTCCAAGGAATTCGTAACATTCGTCTCCAACAGAACATTTCAGTGGCGTCTATCTTTCTTCTCTCCGATTGTCTCAGAGTCCAAGATTCACATCCGTAGGTCAGTATTGGGAATATTAAGCAGTTGATCAACCTCATCTTTATCGCTCTTGAAATTTGACAGTCCTTCCATATTTTGGTCATTTTTGCTGTGGCAACTTTTGCTAGATCCGATCTACGTTTAATCTCTTCTTGTAATGACCCTGTGTTTGTGATTAATGATCCCAGATATAAGTATGAGCTCACAACCTCGAACCGGTCAATTGTGGTTATGTGTGGATGATTGTTGTGTAGTCTATCCACTATCATGATCTTTGTCTTTGATATGTTTAATTGCAGACCAAATATTTGACTTTCGTTTTCGATCAGTCGTATAAGTTCTATCAGCTCTGCTTGACTATTTGCAAGAAGGGCTGTGTCATCTGCGAAACGTAGGTTGTTTAGTTTATGACCATTTATTGAGATGCCCTTTTCCCATCCTTCAAGTGCTCTTCGCATAATATACTCCCCATATCTGTTGAATAATTGTGGAGATAGTATACACCCTTGTCTGACACCCCGTTCTGGATGAAATTCGTTCGAAAGTGTGTCAAGTACTTTAACTGATCCAGTAGTGTGTTCATATAGTTCGGTTATAAGCGTAATTAGATGTTGTGGTACGCCTACTTCTTTTAGTATTCGCCATAAGTGTCTCCACTTGACCCTGTCGAACGCTTTACGGTAATCTATAAAACAGATGTATAGTGGGATGTTGAATTCCCTAGATTTCTCGATTATCTGTCTTATATTCAGCAGGTGTTCTCGAGTGCCTCTACCTTTGGTAAATCCAGTTTGCTCTTGTGGAATTTCTCTTTGAAGGAATGTTTTCAGTCTCTCATTGATTATATGTAGCATTATCTTGCTGGCATGGGATATAAGAGAGATAGTTCTATAATTGTCGCATTTATGGAAGCTGCCTTTTTTATGTATGATCGTTATTGTAGATTTTGTCCAGTCTTCAGGCCATTGTTTGGAATGCCATATTTGGTTACAGAGTAGATGAAGTAACTTTACGCCGGTTTCTTCTGTGGCTTTAAGCATTTCTGCTGTTATCATATCTGGACCTGGTGCTTTGTTATATGTGAGCTTGTTGATAGCCTGTCTTACTTCATTTTCGAGTATATCAGGTTCTTCTTCCACCTCGTCAGAGATTTGGCTAACAAGCTCTTGGCGTTGATCATCTTTATATAGGTCCCTGCAATACGATCTCCATGTCTCTGCTATGTCTTCTCTGTTTGTTCTCAGGGTTCCAGTGTTATCTTCAATGGCCCAAGTTCTGGCTCTGAAGTCTCTTCTCAGGTAGCGTATTTTTCTAAATAGATCTCTCGGCTGATTATTCTGACCATGTCGCTCAATTTCTTTGCTAAAAAATGTTCTAAACGATAAATATTATTACAAATAGGTATTTTTAAGAAAAAAGTTACATGCACAATTCACACACAAATTGATTACGTCCAGAATTTACATCTGCACATTTATTGTGACACTAATTCCTACACACTTGACAACGAATCCATTTTTCTTTGGATCATGAATCCGAAAATAGTTCGTTACAGTAAATGCAAGCTGCATCGTCAGAGTCGTCTTCTTCGAAAGAAGATTAACAATCGTCTTCAGAACTGTTTTGTAGTTGAAACACGAACTTGCCTTTTCACTTTTCTTGCGTCTTGTTTTCTTTTTTTGCTTTTTTACCATACCATTCAATAATACCATACAACAAACAGACACTTACAAATATCTGGGACACGAAATCAAAATAAGCAGAGACAATCAAACACATGAAATACAGAGGCGAATAGGCCTAACTTGGGCAGCATTTGGCAAATTAAGCCATATTCTAAAAAGTTCAATTCCTATGTGTCTCAAGCGAAAGGTTTATAACCAATGTGTTTTACCTGTACAAACTTATGGAGCAGAGACTTTAACACTCACGCAAAATTCTGTGAATAAACTCAGAGTTACACAACGAGCCATGGAACGTGTAATGCTGAAACCAACAAATTAGGCAAAGATCAGGAGTTCAAGACGTCATCGAAAGAACCACGTCGCTTAAGTGTAACTGGGCAGGGCACTTAGCCAGAGCACAAGATGGACGGTGGACAAGACGTATTATGGAATGGAGGCCCAGGATTTATAAAAGAAGCCGAGGACGACCACCGACTAGATGGACCGATGATATAAAACGTGTAGCGGGAAACTGGCTACAAGCGGCCCAGTGTAGAGAACACTGGAAAGAACTGAGGGAGGCCTATGTCCAGTAGTGGACGCGATTGGCTGATTGATGATGATGATGAATATGACCTCATGAATCAGAGTTGTTGGATACATTCCTGAATGATAGACTTTCCGGCAATGAATCCGGATTGATATGTCCAACAATATCGTTTGTAAAGTTCTTGATTGCCCAACGCTTGAAGCCCTGGGCAATCAAGAAAAAAATAAAAAAAAATATTAAAGTTAACGAAGCACATTTGAAATTTCGGATAAAAACCGTCCAAAAAAAACAAAACAAAAATACGAACACAAACAACTATTTAGGAAGAAAAAGAAGTACTGATAGCTGGAGACTTCTGAAAAGTTTCCACAGAACAACACCTATAATGATATACCTATACAAACCTATAATTATAATGATACACCAGATATACTAGATGAAATCTATAGTCTTCCATGAATTTTGTCTAACTTATATCGAAAGTTAGATTGTAAAGCGCGTTTTAAAAATGTAAATCATGTGATTATTTTTTAATTGTATCTCTGAACGGAGTGAAAAATAATTAACAGTATAAAATATCTTAAACGTAAGACTTAAATTAGTTGATAAAACTTTAAAACACTTTTATCATTGTTATTTAAATTAACAACTGTGAGATAAAAAAATATGTAAGGCTCCAAATTCTAACAAATCTGTGAAGGACACTGTTATAATAATCATATATTTTTATTTGCATGCAAACATCGATAAATTTTATATTCAGTGCTTTAATTAGTTTCTGTCTCTGTATGCTCCAACAATGAACATGTTCAACTTATCAATAAGTACAGTTCAATAGTTTATAGTAGTGTATACGACATAGATAACGAATATAATGCGCCACTATTTTAACACGTCATTAATTTTTTTTACGGTGAAATTAACCATTAGTTTAAAACTGAATCAATTTGAATGCGAACATTATTATAGCATCTTGTACTTGTAAAACTCTACCATACAGCCTCCATATAGAACTGGCTACGTTAATACTCGTATCTGCGTACTACCTGTTGGAGAACTATAATCTCCAAATAAATAATTATATATCCAAACAAAATAATTTTATTTCGTAACAAATAAATATTTTCACGCAGGTTACCTAAATAAATCCAGTCTGTATGGACTTGTTTCTGGGAATGTTAATCTCCGCCCATGGCGCCTACTTGACCATAGACCGGCTATTCAAAATGCATAAACAAAATATTTCAGCAGGGCTAGGGGTCGAGACAGACAGTGAATTAGCAACATTCGTAGGACTTACACCTATATTTAAAAGTTCGGAGAGTCTATCTCCACGTTGCAAGTTACGCAATAAGCCGGGAAGCCGTAAAATGTGAATAGTGTTATGGTGTTTTCGAGAAAGTGCGTAAATTGTAATTTTCAAATTAAGTTCCTACGATAAGTTATACACTCACAGTTTATAAGTTCTATTTTTTGCCTTTTTTTCAATTACAGTTTCTCGCTAAACAAGCAATTGTTTTATTTCACTCTATATCAATTCAACAGGCCAGATCAAAGCACCTTTAAAAGTCCATTTAAGTTTCTTTACTGAGCTGTCGAAGGCTAGCGGACTAATTGGACTTACAGCAAGTACAAAACCGCTGAAAGAGACACTGTTGGCATACAAGACTCTCCATGGAAGCGATGTTGAAAACCGGCATCCCTCCACTAACTGTACTGCAAGCAAGCAATTTAATTGAACCCAGCCTATGAGAAATGTTCACCCCTATG